GGAAAATGACGATCCGCTCAAAGCGACGCCCCGCTTCGCCTTCCTGAAATGGATGGCGAATAGAATTTTCGCGACGACATTGGAATTCCGCTGGGTTTATTGGTCGGTCGAGGAAGCTCGTAAAGATCGATTGGATCGGTCGATTGGTCGGTCGGTCGGTCGGTCGGGCGATCCGTAGACGGTCGAGGCTAAGCATCCAGACCAGTTGAACCCGAGAGTCGACCAGCGTCCCGGAATAGTCAAAGGGCTCGTGAGACGTCCCCTGGACGACATGTCGGCCGCGTTTTTCCTCCGCCGTCACCAATCAAACGGGTTCGAAACCGGGGACCTGGGTCGGTTGTTGCGCCGGCCGAGGAAAGAAATAGTCCTGTAACGGGATAAACGAGTGTTCGCCACCGCGCATTCCGATACGTAACGGAGAAAAGTGTGCGAGTGTATATCGTTCCGTGGATCGTGGACGCAACGCGATTGTGGTTGTAAAAAATTTCCTGGAAAACGATCGTGCAACGTGCATATAAAATTCGAGTAATTTCAACCGCAGCCACCAGCAGCAGAAGCCAGGTCTTCTCGCTATTCGCGGAACAGGCCTCGGTGGAAGCAGTAAAATCCTTGTATCGTATCGCTGAGAGTGAGATGCGTTTGCGTACGAGCGATCTCGACCTCACGCTCGAGAATTGTTTCTCCTTCTTTCGCTTTTTCTTTTTTTATAAAAAAAATAACAGAGGAAAAGAAGAGAAGACGATCGAGTACGTTCTTTTTTTTTTCTTCTTCTTCTTCTTCTTCTTTTTCTTCCTCGACGGAGGAGAAAACGAGGGAGGGAGGGAGGGGGGAGGGGATTCGTTCGCGTATTTCTCTCCCAATCGCGTAAATCGTAAACAGTTCACCACCACCGAGCGAGAAATTTCACCTTCCGCTCCTCACCCCCTGCCATCTGGCAACGCCATTTCCTGCCCCAAGAGTGCCGCCCGTAATCATTATTATTCGCGGCCAAATAGCCGGTGGCTCTCTCTTTCCAGCCACTGATTGGCCTCCCTATCTTGAAAATACCCAACTCTCCGCGGCCGCACCGCCGCATTAAACCTCGTTCACCGTTCGCTCGGGGTTAATCGTCCGTCGTTCGTATTGTTTGTCGGTCAACTAACGATTTCACCATGTTTCTCAACTCTCGACTCAGCCAATCTATCGATACGATAAAATATTCAACCGATTCAAATGTTTATGAAACGAGAACCTCGCTCGAAATCTTATCTTTCAACTCGTTTCATTTTGAGTAGTGTTCACGGAGTGTATAAAATTTTTTCACAATTTTTCGATTTACTCGAATAGTTGTTACAAACAAACAAAATTTCTACTTCTTCGTCTCGTATCTTCAATCGCTTCAACTTAGTCAACTATTAACCTATTAAAAATTCTTACAATTTCAATACCCTTTCGTTAATCTACTACAATTAATCGCCCCATATTACTCCCTAAATAATCATCATTCCAATTAGCAAAAATTTGTTAACTTTTACAATCTGTCTCGTCAACCCTTTTCCCCTTGGACACGTATCTCCGTGAAGGATCGAAACGGCGGAACAGATTAAAACGATGGAGGGGAAACATTCCATCGGTTTCACGCGTCGCACGCCCGCATACAACTTCCGCCAATTATCGGTGGGCGCATGGGAAGGAAATGGAACGAGAGAGAGAGAGAGAGAGAGAGAGAGAAAGGAGGTGGAAAAGGCGGTGGTGGACGTCTCGTCGCAGAATGCACGTCGAATGCAAAGCACCGGCAAGGTCGCGATTTCGAGGGAACCGGGAGAGTCGCTGGTGCCCCCTCCTCCCCTCCGTCACCTTCGCGCAGGTAGTCGAAAGCGGAGGAACGAAGAGGTTGGCTCGAGAGGAGCGGAGAGGAGAGGAGAGAAGGAGACGAGCAGGAAGGCAGTCAGCCACCGTGCCGAACGGAGGAGAGGAGAATGGCGAGGCGGAGGGTGAAGGCCCCGGGCGAGGTCACCCACCGCCCCCGCCCTCTCACTCCCCCGCACACCCTGATTACCCGCAGCCGGGGGCGGGACACACTGTAATGAGCATCCAAGAGGTGCTCAACTTCCACTTTCCGTTCGAAAGGAAAAAAATTGTGACGCGAGATATTTCTCCTCCTAAACTCTTCCCTTTCGAGTCGAAAATAATTCGATTAAATTAATCGATTAAAAAATGTTACGTCTCGAAACTACGAATATAAACGAATTGAAAAACAGGATTGATCTTTCTTTTTAGTTTTCCCTCCCGCTGCTGCACGACCAATTAATAACAAGTTCGCAGCAACGCGTATATAAAGGTGTATAGAGTGTCAATCGTGAATAGGGGTCGTCCTAAGGAGAGAGAGAGAGAGAGAGAGAGAGAGAGAGAGAGAGAGAGAGAGAGAGAGAGAGAAAGGGATCGGTGGTGGTAACACGACCTCGATTCGAAGATACCCGCTGAGAAGGTCGCGGGGAGCGTGAACGAAGCGAGGAGGGGACCCGGTTGAATGCAAGAGTAGCTCGGTCGGCTGTCGGCGAAGACACCCCGGATGATCGAGCGATGTTATTTTAAGTTTTTCCCTCCCTCCCTCCCTCCCTCCATCTTGTCCTAATCGGCTGTCAGCCACCCCCGTGACTGGGGTCGCAGGCCATCCCCCCTCCCCCAACTCAACAGGACATGCGCTACGTGACGCGGAAGAGGATGGAGCTCGGAGGAGGGGGAGGGTGATCTTGACACAGGGACCCCCCGCGGACTGGATTCGCCCCTTTTGCGAGCGGGGAGATTCGCGCCGAGGAGGAGGAATATCATACCCCTCGAGGGGTTGGTTTCAAAACGTTTTACACTCTCATAACCGGGGGACCTGTTGATCCTCGTCGCGTCGAAAAATCGCCAACCACCACCACTCGAAGAAACAGTTTTACAAGCCGCGCCTCGTCATCGCGCGCGATTCACGATCTTGGTGGCCTCGAAATGTGGAGCGTTAGCTGACGAAATTAAATTGGATTAGATTATCCAGATCCCCCTCTCCTTACTTGCTCTCTCTTATTTTATCTCTCGTTTATTATCGAATAAAAATTCTTCCAGATATACATATATATATATACACGAGACGCAACGAGTGCATAAGATCGCCAACGACTTTCTTTTCGAGCTCTTAAAAAAAAAAAAAAGAAAAAAGAAATAAAGACCGGTTAGATAAATTCGAAAAACGATTCCATTCCTTCCGACCGACGGTTGTTAATAATAAACGCCTTTTTTTTTTTTTTTTTAAACGAATCTCGACCCCAAGGGAGAGAAGATTTCATAAACGCGTTTTAATCGATCCCCTTCGTAGACAGTTTTAAAATTTCCTCATCGACCCCCCCGTCCCCCTGTTCCCATGGCCGCGAAATTTCTTGCATTAGCATCCCCCTCCCCCCCTCCCCCTCCCCCTCCCCCCGACCACGAGAGATAAGAGGCATAGTAAAATCCTATATCGTCCTATAAATATTCGACGAGTCCGGCTCGAGTCCGGTTGTTGCAAATATCCCGGGAGGAGGATAAAGCGCATAATAAAAATTATAGCCGCGAGCCGCGATACCGGGAGGAAGAGGAATAGGGAGGAGGAGGAGGAGGTGGAGGAGGGTGACTGGTGAAATTCCAGCAGAGTCCTCGAACTCTGGAATAGACCGTGAAGATGAAGTCGCTCCAGGAAAGTTAGGATGACCTCGCAGGGTCCTGCGGCTCGTTTGATGGACCTCTCCCCTTCTTTTTCTCCCTCTTTTTCTCCCTCCCCCTCCTCCCCCTCCCCTCCCTTCGTGGCGTTCACGCATTTCCACCGGGATACCCGTTTACACCGAGCCGAGTTTGGTGGCACATATTATATACCTGCGGAAAGGAGGCAGAACGAGGGACGAAACCGAGGGGAGGAGAGGTTAAAAAGAAGAAGAAGAAGAAGAAGAAGAAGAAGAAGAAGAAGAAGAAGAAGAAGTGAAGGAGGTGGAGGAGGAGGAAGGAGAGAAGTAGGGGGAAGGCGCGCGCTCTCTCTCTCTCTCTCTCTCTCTCTCGTCCGCAGCGTGCTTATTGCGTGATATTAGCCACGGTGGCTGGCGGAGTAATCATAATCTCGAAAGAGGGACAAAACACCAGGCCCCGAATCGCATAACGCTGAATTTTACGACTTGTGGCATAGAGGACAGGCGACCGGATGCAACGTGACTTTTTACCTCCCTCTAACGTCCCCGGCTTGATGTCAACAAGAAGGTGGCGGAAACCAGCAACACCCCAAATGGGATCCCTCAATGGGGGGAGGGAGGAGGCCTCGAATCGTATCGAATCGGATCGAATCGAATCGGATCGGCCGGTGTCCAAATTCTTCGAGCGAATTTATCTCGAAAACGAAACAATTCCGCGAAACGAGGATCGAATCTCGAATCTTGTTTCTCGAGTTAATCGAGAGTCACTGGTTGAAAATAAAAAGAATAAAATTCGTATTTCTCATTTCTCCAANAAAAAAAAAAAAAAAAAAACTTTTCTAGCAAGCACGAAATTCTATAGCAAACGAGCGGATCTCGGATTCGAAACGTCGAAAGCGAGAGGACGTAAAATGTTTCTACTTTCTATCTGAAACGATCTTTCCGGGAACCCGATCTAATTTACGCGTTTGCATAAACCTGGCCGCGGTTTCCAGGTAATAAATAAATAGAAAAGGAGGAAACCTTCGAGTTGCGGAGGTGGGAGGAGGCGTTACATCGCGATCGTTTCGCAATCGTATGAAATTGCCGCGCTCCCGTTCGGTCCAATCGGTCAACGTAATAGGAACGCAACAGGAAGGAGCGGAGGGAAATTTTTCCCCCTCCCCCCCTCGCGCGCGGAGGATACCGTAAAAGTTGGTTTCCCCGATACTTCTTTCCTTTCTTTTTTTCTTTTTTTTTTTTCTTTTTCCTTCTGAGAAACGCACTGCGTGCACCACCATAGATATACGCACGATTTCAAAGAGAGATGCGTGACTCACTTACCGTAAGGTCGATCCGCGATCGGCTGCTCGCACGTGTCTGAAACAAAGGAAAATCTCGTATCAGACGAGTAACCCTTTTTCTTTTCTCCACGATAATACGATAATCTTACGCGGAGGAACGAATAACTGTAGAGGAGAGAGGGAAAAAACGTCGAGATTCCGTTTCCTTCTCCCCTCCCAATTCATTCGAATTCCTGCCTCCGAGGTGTGATTACGCGTAATAGTCATTCGTGTCGCGTTCACGAGACAATTCGAAAACGACCGTGATCCGTTGTAATACGTTCAACATCATCACACACACACGCGCGCGCGCGCGCGTACAATCCCCTCCCCCTGCGTAATTATCTTTTTCAATTTGCATATGCGCGCGTTGCCGCGATCATTCGATTCGAGCCGAGCCATCGTTCGAGCGCTAATAACAAGCGGCCCTCGGATTGTGCCGTGGTTAAGCAATTTCGAGGGCCACGGATCGAGGCTCGCAATTTCCTTTAACGCTTTAACGATCGAAATTCCATCGATTTATGCCGCGTAATATCTTCATTCGTATAACGACGATATATATATAATTTTTCTTTCTTACTTAAAATTGTATTATTATATCGAATGGTGATGAAGGAAACAATGTTTCTCCGTTTCAATTTCTCGATAGGAAATGGATGGAAGGCTCGTGAATCATTTAATTATCGACTCGATTGGTCGAAATACCGGATTTTTCACGCTGAAAAGCGGAAAAGTTATCCATGGACGCGACAGATGCTAGGTCGAGCCTAGCCTGGAGCTTGTGATTCGAGGCGAGGGACTAATGGGAGCTGGTAAGTCATCGGATGTCATAAACGTTCCATTCGGTGGTGCGACGCGTGTTAACGGCCTCATTAGATGGATCATCCGTCCAAATGTGTTAGTCTACGCAGTTGAAAAGAACAAGAAGACGTTTGGCCCGAGCTTGATTGTAAAATTTAATAAACCAGAGAGTTTCCAGACTTGGTCCTTGGATTTTTAATGAAACGATCCTTCGTACGGGAACAATAAAATTTGGAAAACTGTATATGCGGTTGCTTAATTTTTTCTCTAAAAAATATATATACAATCAATATAGTTATGAGCAAAGATATAGAATTGTATTCAATTGAATTTGAACGATAAAAATACGTTCAAAATTTGATTAATAAGAAAGAAGGGATATAGTTGTTATATAGAGTGTATAGTCGAATCTTATAACTCTCAGGAAATAACATGGCGTAGCCAGTCATCCACGTAAGGGATGTATAATAATGGACAGGGTCGTCCGGCTGGCAGTGCGATCGAAAATAGAGATTAGATTCGACGGGACAAAACATTCTGCATCTGGTATTCCGTTGAACCTGTCGTCGATGGAACAACGACATTGGCCAGAACGAAAGCGACTCTCATTCATTCGAATCGTTACATACATGTATTTTCTTGCTCTTACTTTCGACCATTCTCCTCTTTCCATCTCGTATCATTCGTCCACTTTCTTCCGTGTTCGTCAATTTGTTTAACACATTAATAAATCATATCATAATGCAAATCAGTTTAGCTTCTGTATCTATCAACTTCATTCTATCAACTTGTTGTCGTTTGTGATTAATATTGATTGACTTTTTCCCAACATATTTAAAACGAATTCATTTAAATGCGATACCTTGCATTTATTCTTTCATTTATTCATAAAGCGAATACTCTTACTCTTACATCAACGAACGTGTTCATATCAGCAGATATAATGCGATCGTGATAGAAACGATCTAAAAGAATTTCTAAAAAAAAAAAAAAAGAAAAAAAGCGAGACGTTAAATATTATATAATTTACATTTTAATAATAACTTTCTCGTGTATTAAAATATACCACTGGATTCCAATCCAAAAGAATCAAATTTAATTTTCCAAAAGATCATCGATCACCTTAAGAGGGACGATACGATATTATTAACTTCCGTTCAACGATAAAAAAAAAAAAGTCAAAAATCAAGGTTCATCGACAGAGAGCGAAACGCGTACGACATTTCGTTTAATCGGTTGTCGGGCGTTGTATTCTAATATTTCCCGCGAACCGGCGGCGCGCCACCACGAATTCTAATTCGCGCTGGGCCCTGGAGGTGCCAACGGGGTCGCACGCGATAGTCGATAAATATTAAACGACTTTCCACCTGGCCGCGGCTCGCTTCGCCTCTTTCGACAGAGGAGCGCGGCGGGGCCGGGTGTAAGAGGGACTTCCGAGAGGGAGATGACTGAATGTTAATTAGCGAGGCGTGACAAGTGTTGAGCAATCCATCCATCGAGCGGCGTGCAAAGAGGGAGGAGCCTGGGCAAACGCACTGGGTAATTAACGAGACAGAGACCACGCGTCATCACCTCCTTCTCTTCGCATCCTTCTTCTTAACGTTTCGCGTTAAAATTCGATTCGACGGTTTATCCGGCTTCGACCAGACCAATGTTTCGAAATCGAGAATTTTAACGCGACACCCAAGTCGTCCGATTTTACTTTCGCGGGATTGTAACCGTATTCTCGATCGAAACGGCTTAAGCTTGAAAACGTTCCAAGTTCTACTCTTTCCTGGAGATATATATATATATATACAGAAGATAATTCGTTATTTAAATATTATGATGGTCAGTTCGAGAGGTCCAAGTTCTCTATTTTCTTTGTCTCTCTGATAGATTGAATAAATTATAAGTTTCACGTAGATTAAAAATGATTCCGACAACCATTTAATCAACCTTATCATTTTAATGAGCGATTGGCAAAAGACGGATGGGAATTTAAACGATGAATGAAAGATGAAGAAGAAGAAGAAGAAGAAGAAGGAATAGAACAATTCTGTCAATTCGTCTATCTATCCACGCTCCCTTTTTTCTCTATTTTTGCAATAGTAATTAGCGGAGGACGGAGAGAAGAGGGAAGGGAGGAAGAGGTCTCGGATACGTGTCAAAAACATCAAGATTCAAATCCTGTCGTGGAGAATGGTGGACGACGGGCGGTCGGTCGATCCCCCGCTCTCGAATAGATGTATCAGTGTAATTAACAACAAACAATGGCCCGTGGGACGCGCGCGTTCGATATCGTACATTAATCGATTAGCCAGCACCGTCCGGGGCCCGGAGATATGCGGCTGGGCCCCGGGTTGTTAATCATCCCTGAGCGCGGATGCGTTTGTACTCTCCGACCCCCCTCCTTTCTAACCGCGAGAGAAGGAGGGAAGAGGAAGAGCGAGATGGGGAATGAGGAAGGACCGATCTTTTGCACCCGCCGCTTCATCCCTTAACAATACTCCGATTAATTCTTCCTTCCTTTTTCTTTTCCTCTTCGGGCCACGTCAATTTTTCCTCGAACACTTCGTTTCTATCCACCTCTTTTCACGATTGGGACGAGGTGGCAACGAGCACGTGGTCGTAGTAATCGAACGTGGATTGCTTCGATAAATTATTGGCGGGAAGAGAAGTAAGAGAGCCGTTTGTCGGATCCGATGATCGGAAATGTATCGACGACTCCACCAGTTCGGTCACGTTCGGGTAATAACCATTCCATTCAATCCGATTGTTTACCGATTGTTCGTATTCCTGAACGAATCCATCCTCCAACCCCTCGCTTAAGTAAGATCGTCGCATCGACGAGGGAAACCACGGTCATCGAGCCGAATACTCCAGAATTCTTCCGCCTTCGAAACGAAAAAGAAGAAGAGAAACTTATCACGCGAGTTCCATAATTTCGCGCAATCTTCAACGATCGCGCACCTCTAATTCCGCGCACGGTAACCGTAATTACCTCTCCTCTGATGGAATCGCATCATCAAAACCCGCTCGTTCATCAACCTTTGGAATACCGAATCGCTCCCAACGTGCGCGAACAAAAGATTCGTCTTAATACAAGCAATAATGGGGGGGGGGGGAGAATTGTGATCCTCTTCTCTTTTTCTTTTTTTTTTTTCTTTCAAAGAACGAGGATGTTTCGCGCGTTTTCTTTGTATTGTATTATTCACGGGGAGAGGGGAGGGGGGGGGGGTAAATTAGCTCGAACGTATCCCACGAACGTCGACGAACCGTGTCGCTTTAACACGCCGGATAACGAACGACAGACGTTCGTTACCTGTTAATCGATCGACAAACACGTGTTGGATCGAGTACGTGCACGAGTACGGTGACGACGCGCGAGTTACACGCGACAATGATCGTCGCGCGGACGATTCACGTTCACGGTGTTTTGCCGCGCGAATCGGCCGCCGACGATCGGTCACGTACGATTTCTACGATTAGCCACGCGAGATCCAACAGCTTCGCACCGATCCGAACGAGCCGGGGACCATTTAGGGACCACCCGTGATGTAATTTTCGATACGGAACATTCCACCTTACTTTTCTCCTCTTCTTTTTTCCCAATCCGTATCCTTAAGGAAATTAATCGCCACGGTCTTCTATTTTTATTCTATGTTATTGTTTCCACGTTATTATTCTATGTTCTATATTTTTAACCATTTCTTTTATATATATATATATATATATATATATATATATATATATATATATATGTATATTAGGAAGCAGAGAAAAATATCTTAAACTCTGTATTCCGTTTCAAAAGTTAATAAAATGATCTCGCGTCGCATTGATATTTATACAACGTGCCGCGAGGAAGTTGTATAGAAAGTTTCGACTCATTCTCTCAGGATTTATATATAGGTGGTCCCGATGAGTCGACGTGCCGGTTAATCAGAGCCGAGAGGCTCGTTGTGGATATTTAGTAATCAAGAGATCGTAACTCGTCTTTTCTCGCGCAGTGAAAGGCCCCAGTGGCGTCCCTGACGACCACGCTAATTACCGGGGAGGAAGGGAGGGGGGGGATCGACGATCTTACATCCGTATTCTCGTTTTGGGCGTCCATGCCGGATGGATTCCGCAACCATTTCCTTCTGGCTCAATTTTCTCAATCCCTCGTGCCCCCGGAGAGGGTATGGAAAAAGGGGCCCGAGGCGAGCGTTGGTTTGGAAACGCAAGACGCAGGACGAAGGTGACAAATTTCTC